TCTTGGATTTTTGCCTTTTTGCCGAAAGTCTGTTTTCGCTGGTGAATTAATATGGGCTGGACGACCAGCCAAGCGGGGGAGCTTGTGAAAGAAAGTTCCAGCAGGGAAAACTCGAGCTTAATCGCGTAGTGGGGAAAAATAATTTGTACCCTCCCACCAAGTTGGATCACCCCGGGGGGACTCTCCGATCGGGTATTCACGCTACGCCCCAAAGTTAAGTGCAATTCGATAAGATGGTAGGTAATGGAAATCGAAGGATTTGACTTTCGAGCTAAAGTTACTCCAAGTGCCAAATATCACCCATTTGTATGAAATTTTTCCGCTGCACCTATTACCTCTGTCCCGCAGTATGAAATGAAAGAGCCCTTTGTTCCAGAAGCCGCGAGTGCGAACAGCAACGGCGATCAGATAACATCACCAATAATAATGATGAAAGAGCTCCAGCTCCGATAAAACGCTCCCGAAACTTTCCGAGCAGCGTCGTCGTCACAATAGGCGAAAAGCCCTGCCGACGCAGCGACCATCTCAGCAACGCGGAGTAAAGCTCTCGCGAGTCCTTCTTTTTTTTTTTTTTTATGTATGTGTGTGCAGCGTTCCCCTTCTATATACTTTTCCCATAAAATATCGGGCGAGCTTTGATTTCGTTTTCCCCGGCGGAGCACTTTTTTTTTTTTTTTTCCTTCCTCCGGTTTATTTTTCACTCCAGCCCGACTCTTTATTTTCGCCTTTCGCTGTTGCAGCAACAGCGCGGCTCTCTCTCGCGGATAAAGGAAGCGAACGCGGGGCACAAAGGAAGTGCCTGCCAAAAATATCCGGAGCCCGGACTTGCTTTCTTCCAAGGAGCTGCAAAGCCAACTTTTCTTTTTTTTTTTTTTTGCCTATTCTACGCGTCCGGGAGGGCTTTTCAAGAATCTTCGCGCTTTTCTTCCCAAGATACACTCTTACTTCGCCTGTGAGTTTGCATTTATAATTCTTTCGCGTTCCCACGGTTGATTACCAAAGTTCGATTTTTCCTCAACACTCGTGTGCAAGTGGCACCAGTAATATAGAGAAGACATTTTTACGACTCGAAAACTTTCGAAAGGCGAGGACCATACGCACTGCGTGTGCCATACGTCACAAATGAACGGAGAAACTTAAACATTCCATCGGCGAGTTGAGAATCGAAGGGACAACTTTTCTCATTGACATATTTATATAGTTCCATGATTAATATATTTTTATTTTTCATTGAAATCATTTATGGTTGCTTAGGTTTCCCATCATGTACACCGTTCCAGTTGCAGTGAAAGGTCTACACAGCAGCTGCACGATAAAAATCCTGTAAAATCTCACGAATGAATCGTTCGCGGTTCGTGTGGGGACGCATACACGCGCGTGTAAAAAAAAAAGTGCGCAAGCACTCGTAAAAAATATTCCCAAGGAAAATATGTACCATGGCGCAAGTTTTCCGCCGTGAAACGAAATACACGCGTGAAATTTAATATTTGCGCCGAAACTTTTCAATTTACGGACTGTTTGTAAATAGAGTGGGATGGAAGGAAAAAAAGCTCGCATGATATTTCCCGGCTTATCAGGTTTCTTGTAAAATATATGCCCTCCGTTATTCTCCCCTCCTCTTTTTCAGCAAAAAATATGGCCTCACATGCGCCCGAAAAATACGATTTCAAATACCCGCGTGGGGTGAAGTAAAAAAAAAGGAAAAAGCCATTTTTTCGACTTCCGCGTTTAGGTGTACAGAAATATTTTTCACAAAAACCGATGGCCAATATCTTTTTTGAGACTCGTGTAGTTGTGTAGGTGTAGCGGATGGATGTTCCCAGGAGCTGCGAGGCTCAAAGCAGACGTTCACGTCAAAGCTGGGATATTCAACTGGGCGCCCCTTCTCTGCGAGAGACGAAGGCGCGAGAAATTTATCCAGACGCTGCATGCATGGTACGCGTGTGGGGAAAACGTAAGAGATGGTGCACCGCGAGATATGTGTTGCGTGTACTTTTGGAAGGGCCCGAGGGTGTGATGGCTTATGCGGGGAAGGAAAAATGCAAGGTATATGTGACTCTGATAAATGCGCGCTGCCGCGAGCAAGTGGAATTGAAAATTCGTGTTTTCTCTTTTTTATTTATTTTTTTCTTTTTGGAGAAAAAGCTTTGAATGTGCCTAAATTGACAGTTCAGGTGAACTTTTATCGTTAATCTACGTCAGTTCTTAGAGAATGTGACTGTAATCTTATTTTCTTACTTTATTGTAATTTTCTTCAAATGGTAGTAGGTAACCAAAAGAAAAAAAAAAAAAAAAAAAAAAGATAGATTCCTCCCACAAATAATTGATTGATTTATTTTTATTTTCAAGTTGAAGCATCACACGGAAAGTTACTAATTTAAGTCACTGGTTTAAAACAATCCAATGAAAAAAAAAAGGGGCAAATGAAGCGTAAGGATCGGCACATCAAGGACACATTGACACATAAGTTTTCCTGGATGGTGCCCAATGAATTTCTCGTGCACATGAATACACGCGAGCCTCATCGATAACCCAATAACCCGATCAGTGAACTAACGCACAAAGAGAGAGGGTATAAAATATCGCTCGGTCGTACTGGAGCAAAGATGAGAAAAGCCGGATAAAGTAAGCCCCGAAAACAACGCGCAGGGAGTTATGCTCTTGGCAAACACTCGCCGTTTCGCTTTCTCCGATTCCACGGGCTAGTCTTCTTATACTCGTGCTTGTTGCTTCCGATGCGAAACTAGCCCCAATTTCATTAGGTATACCAAACCCCCGGAGGAAGTGGGATAAGTTATCGTTCTTTCCTTTAGCAGGCAATACAACCTTGCCAGAGCTTATACATCCGCTTGTATGCCAACAAACTCGTATGTGCACACGTGTACGTATAAGCTGACGTGTGGACAAAAGCTTGTCCATTATCCTCGCACTCACCACGATTCTTCTGACGTGGACGTAGAGTAGAACGTATGTACGGCTTACGTGCAGATGCATGGCTATATAAGTCCAAGTGTACTGTAGTTGAGCGCATCGACTTACATGAGTATATAGCATTTGCTCTGTTGTCCATTATTTCCTCTTTCTCTCTCTCAGACTGTACATGGACGTATATGTACGTGGAAGATGCGTTCTCTGTGTTGCGTACCACTTATCTTCTAATACTATTATATTGTGTATGCTACATTAATGGTAAGTACAGAGCTTACTGAAACCACTGGTACCTTATTGCAGTTTTACGTGTAATTTTGGCCATTTTTCCGGGAGTTACCATTTAAAATAGTTATTTAAAACGGTAACTCCTTATCCATCTGATAGATTTTACCAATATATGGGATTAGTCATAGTTACTGAATACTTTATTCATAGAACAATAATGGTAATTCAAGACTTCAGTCAAACAATTAAGGAAGATTTGCTAACATCGAATTTAATTCAATGGCACTGGATAACAATAAGGAAGTGTAATACACCAAAATAAACGTAAAAAACGGGGATATTATGGAAAAATTTGGCTTTGTATTAACGTGCTTATCATCTGAAAGAAGTTTCTTTAGTGGTTCTGTGTAATGAATAAAACATTTTGGGTTGCAACTATTACATTTTTAACCTTTCATCCAGACACGCTTCGTAAAAACTATTTCACTCGCCAGAAGTATGGTATTTTAATCACGGTAGGGAATACATCGATTGACCACGATTTGGCCATACTTTTGTAAATCTACGTCGGATTTTCAACCGTTAGTACCCTTCAACGAACCCCCCGTAATATTCATTAACAGCATTGCTTCCTAATGTACGCCTGAATATCCAAGTCAGCGCTCGAGTTTCAAAGAAGTAAGCAACTATAATCCCTCCTGCAAACAATAAGACAAGACGATTCCATCAACTTCTCAAATAACCTTACGGCTCCCATTTTCCTTTTCATCACCACCGTACACTAGCATCGTAACGCGTACACGTACTAGACTTTGTCCAGTTTACGTTAACTCAATGGCGCACGCAATAATCCCCGACTCATTCCGGAGAAGCCTGTAGGCAAACAACCACAACAGATCCATCCATTGATGTACACACGTGATTTTAGATATGACGGTTCGTCTGAGCCCCTCCTTGGGTCATTTCAGTCCAATCAGACGGTATATAGGTATACCTACTGCCAACGCAATGCCTCATGTTGCTTCCAATCAGAGTATAGGTATATACGCGTATAGTGGACTACACATGCCTCGATGGATTCCCCAGTTCAGTCAAGAATGAAGGTGGAATACAACCCTCGCGAGAATAAGCGTGTACACACGCGTGGAAGGACCGAGAGTACCTCCCAGCTCGAGGCTATGCGTGTCTTGGTACATATGTACTTTTTTTTTTTTTTTTTTTTTTTACGAAAACGGGCTTGTTATTCTCGATAAAGTTGAATTTTGTGAGGGGCTGTTTTTAACTCAATCATCCACTACCGTTGATTTTTCGAGACATGGAATTGTTGAAATTGGCGCTGAATTGTGCACTGACCGGATTTCCAAGAATTTCATTGGTTTTTATTGGTTTTCATTTATCGAGCAACAAAGGGGAATTCTCTTTCGGCAGTGAATTCTCCACTTTTATTGGAGTAAATATATATATATGCTCCAGCTCCGATAAAACGCTC